CAACGCCTACCCCTACTTCGCGTACGCCGAGGACCCCGCCGGCGTGGAGCTCGAGTACGCCCTGCTCGAGCCCGGCCACGACGGCGTCCCTGACCCGTCCTCCGGGCTGCGCTACCCCAACATGCTGGTGGCCCAGGTGGACGCCGTGTACCACGCGATCGCGGCGGCCAACCGTGGCGCGGCGGCGCGCGCGGTGGAGGTGCGCGTGTCGGAGACCGGGTGGCCGTCGGCCGGCGACGGCAACGAGACGGGTCCGACGCCGCGAGGTACAACGGCAACGTGATGCGGCTGGTGGGCGAGGGCAAGGGCACGCCGCTGCGGCCGGACGGGGCGCTGCGCGTCTACATGTTCACGCTCTTCAACGAGAACATGAAGCCCGGCCCCTCCTCGGAGCGCAACTACGGCCTCTTCAAGCCCGACGGCACGCCGGTGTACGAGCTCGCCTGCCGCCTGCCCAAGGACAACGCCACCACCTCGTCTGGCGCCGGCGGCACCGGAAGCATTACCGGCAGGGGCAGGGGCGGCGGGCCACAGAACAACGGCTACTACAGCATCTCGGCATCATCGGCAAAGGCGAACGTGGTGAGAGCTCCGCTTTCTTGTTAATTAGCAGTAGTATAAGCTTTGTCCGCGCTTTGCATCGATTCCTGTCTGAACTGAAAAAGCTCCATTTTGGATTAGTTTGCAAAGTTTTCACGGTAAAAGTGTAGGCAAGTTAAAAAGGATGCATCATGCATGCTTGGTGATGCCTTTTGATTGACAGCCCCAAGGTAATATCATGGCATAAAGGAGCATGCCATTACCTGATCCAAAACTCTGTTTCTGTACAGTAAGACATCATAACCATGGTAATTTGAAAGTATATAAGATGTTCCATCTTTTTCTGAATGGGATGTGCATAGACGCGTTTTAATGTGTCGTTCACTCGTTTCAGTCCGTATGTAGTCCATATTTAAATATCCAAAACTTCTCATAATTCAAAACAGAGATGATACATTATAAGAACATGCCACTGGATCGACACGTGGACCGTCGATACACACAACTTGCTTGTTCTGGTAGCCATAAAATACAAAACTATGAAACCATAAAGGGGGAGATCAGTGCCAAGTGACCTGTGATCATAAACGAGAAGAACAAATTCTGAATGACCTGTCTTCATGTTGGCTCTGCTCCCTTTTGGTCACCTGCTGATGTGTCTCCTTGTGTTTGAGCTTGTTCTTGTGGACATGGACACAAGCAACCATGGCAGCATATGCGGCTGTCCTGTTGATGATGATAGCATTCTAATTCTGAGCAACTTGCGCTATAAATTATAAGTTTGCTTCCATAACAATATTTTAAAAATATTTAACAGGTAAAGTTAACATCATATTTAGATTCCACACATTTTTCTAACAAAATTTCATATATAATATGTTAAAATCAAAGTTATGGTTTAAAAGATACAGATAATTTAAAAAATCATTTGGTTTGACTCAAATATATTTCAAAATAATATTTAAAAATACTTAACAGGTAAAAATAATCTCATATTCATATTCTACATTTTTTCTAATCAAATTTCATATATAACATGTTCAAGTCGGAGTTACGGTTTAGAAGATATGGATGATTTTAAAAAGCATTTGTTTGATTTAAATATGATCCACGGATGAATTACCTAAAACATCAGGGGGGGATCGAAAAATGTAAAATAACGGTTCGGGTGTGACTTAAATCCGGACGGCGGGTTGATTTCAGGAAACGACAGGGACTTTTGTGTAAAACACGAAAATAATGACTCATTTTAACTTAAAAAAGACTGCGGGTTGAATTCTTTAAAATAGAAGGACTTTTTTATAAAATGCCATGACGGACGAAAGAAACTTAATTTGCTTTATTATTAGGTAAAGATGTATGATACCTAACTAAAGAGTAGTACATATCCACTACATAGCTGGTCTTATATACTCCACACTACCGCAACATACTCCGCGTTAAGGTACACCTGGTAGTACTTAAAATTCCAGTGACAGATGCATTTATATAACCCCACATAACAAACCTAATTAACATCCGTTTATTAACAAATGAAAGATTGGGCACACACCACACAGAGCATAGGTACTGCATCCAAAATGATGTTATTATATGGAAAGCATAGAGATGGACTGAAGTGGACCGGAGGAATATATGCTCTGCTTGTTTCGTCCATCAGGGCAGAACTTTCTCCCCTGCAAGGGAAAAGGCTCATTGCAACGGTGTGTGCGCTTTACTCTGTAAATAGGAGCCTTTGTGTCTTTGGGGCCTTTGGTCCAGGCAATGGTCATCTGCTGCAGGAATAATTCAGCCGGGTGTAAACTGCAGCGGAAAGAGTAATGGTTTCTGGGTGAAGCTTTTGGATGAGATGTCTGATCACCTGCGCTGTCTCTGGATCGTGTGTGTTTTAGTCCCATATCGATGAGCACGTGTGCATTGTGTGCTATAGACTCGTACCACAGTTGGGCTAAAAAACCTTATATCTCCAAAGGGTGTTACTTTTTCTTTGCAAGAAATCAACACAAGGATTTAGCATAATCGAATACTACAGGTGCTCAAAACCACACGTGATCATGCCACAAGACGACCTAGAACACCTGTAGGCCTAGTGGATAGAGAAAAGCATAACTGTATCTGTATGATACACAAGACGACCTAGAACTAATTTGGCGGATATGGCTCTAGTATGGCAAAGTTGGTTTAGTTTTGATGCTTCAATGAAAGGAAAGACTGCCAAATACTACCTCTATAAACTAATATAAGACGCTTTAGGGAGTAGAAAAAAGTAGTGGGACGGGATACTCCCAGGCATGGTAATTTATGAACCTCAGTCTGCTCATCTTACAGAGCAGCAGAGTAAGAAAGTAGAGGGTATAACAATCCAACGACTTATATTGTCTCTTTGTGTCTACACTCAACATTACTACGAAAAGACACTTGTCAGGAATCGAACATGACTATGACTACAATTTCAAATAGCTACACAGATTAAGAAAAAATAGACAGGAAAGCATTATTCAGATGATACCTTAGCATAACTGCCCACAAAAAGGACCCTCCATGGACCCACTCATATCCTTACGACAGCCTGACCTTGAACATCTTATGCAAGATCAGAGTAAAATATTTCAGATTAGCGGAAATAAACATCATAATGCAAGATGAGAGGAAAATATTTCAGATTAGCAGAAACATTCACATCAACATCGGCGAAAAACATTTCAGATTACTGACAAGATTAACATCAACATCAACAGGCAGGCAAGCTCTCACTCTGCAAAGCTGGCACCTCCGACAACAAAGAAATAACAAAGAAACCTATAGGTATAAGTACTGCATGACAAAACCTGATGGGAAATCAGAGCAAAAATGGGAAAATGGAGGACAATGAAATGGAGAGAAGTCCGGTGTGCAAGGCACTCCTGTCCATGCCAACTAAGTACAGATGCAAAGGGATAGATAAGTCACAGGTTGTGCAATATTTTATATATGCATAACAATGTAACTTCATTCGCACAGTGCTTTAAAGAGCTCCACTATGTGGAGGCAAAAATACTAACTGGACCTTATAAAAGGGGGTCGGAGACTGTGTGGGTTGAATCTTTCCCTGCTGAGGCAAAAATACTAACTGGACAAAGTGTTGGGGGAAGGATACTCACAAGATGCGTTGAATTATCTAAATTCAAGAGTGAGTAGCCATAGTTTCACTTTACTTACATCTACATTATTCAGTTTTTTTTGCAATATTCGGTGTTGACGGCCACATGTTTTTTTTAAGTGTTTTGCAGGCTTCAGCAAAGTTTACTGAACTGACCAGAAAATGCACGCAAGAAATATATACAGTATAATCTGAATTTTTATGAAGAAAAGAAACAAAGAAATGAATAGAAAGTGCAGGGGGGATGTGAAAGTGAAAATGAGGACTCAAGTGAAAAGGTAACTAAGAGAGGTCCCCAAGAATAGTTAATTCTAAACTATAAATACAATAGTATGAAAAACACAAATGAACCTATATTATATGCTGGATTAATGTTGAGTGTTGGTTATCCAGTTTCATGGTGATCATGAAATAACTTATACATTTGTCGGTATGTTAGGATAACTTGTTTTGCTCCCACAGTTCCTCTTTGCCAAATTAAATTAGTAGTTTTCGTAGAATAGAATCATGCGGAGGGAAAATAAAGAGCAACTACTCACGTGAAGGAAAATAAAAAACAGAAAGTTGGGAACTCGTTGACTAAAGTGAAAGTTCACACCAGTAAATTCTTGGCCATAACTTTACTTAAATCATGAGGGAAAATAGTTGAATCTTAAATGAAGTTAAGCAGAAAGAAATCATACTGGAAAAACTTTTCTCACCATTACGCAACAAGCTCCACCAGTACAACTGAAGCAGCATAGAATATAGGAGACTTCGGCATGAGCACTGAGAATTAAAAGTAAATCCAGCATTCCATACATACCAGACCACTGAGGGTGGCATTGCTAAAAATACATTCAAATAAAGGAATGGGACTGCTTTACATAGATTACAAAGTCACAGGTGGGTCAACAACCATTGCCGTTTTCCACAGCCGAAAAGCGGCACAACCATCCATGTTAGAAAGGTTGTCCCTCAGGTGATGCAAATGCTTTGATTTCAATGGGAATGAGCTTCTCCACTTACGGAACTGTAATGCTCACAAAGAGGTGTACTTTGACAAATGCTGCAATGGAATTTCCATATAACTATCTCATAAAATTATTTGCTTGTTTCAAAATAGTTGTTGGTTTTCAGAATCACTGAAATTGTTTCCAGAAGACTTAGCTTCGACAGGTATTTCGAAGTCAATCTGATTTGGTTCCTACATCACATACCTTTTCCCTATAGAGAGTGCAGCGTCATGCATAAGATTGGATATCTTAAGCAGGCAGGAGGGCTTTACACAAGCAATAAAACTGTGCTTTCTGAGGAATTAGTCTCATATGCAACGTATCAACTAGTCAACCAACTCATCAAAAAATTGATACTTGGCAGGGAGCAATTTCATGTGCTCCTTATATTTGCCTTTCCTTGAGAAGAGAGAAAACATCAATGAAGTAGTTGAAGCTTCAAGTGATATGCTCTTCCCATCAACTTTAGACAAATAATATCCGGCCTTGGCGATCTCACCTTTTTCCAACAACAATCTGATGATGTCATTGATGAGACGGGAGCTGGGGACTATACCACTCTTGTCCATTGATGAAAACACATTGTTAGCATCTTCCACTGCTCCATCTTTTAGAAGATTTTTTATCATTACTCCGTAAGTAGATTCATTAGGCACCAACCCACAGGCTAATATTCCAGCAAATAGTTCCTTAGCTTCTTCTCTTCTCCCAACCTTGTACATTGCATTGATCATGGTATTGACTATTGCAATATTGAACTTCACATTCATTGCACCTAATTTGTTGAACAGGGTGATAGCTTCGTCTGCGCAATTATTTCTACAAAAACCTCCAAGTATTATAGCGTATATGGAAAAGGTCACTGTTGTTCCACTTTCGATCATCTCATGGAACATTTTCCATGCAGCAACAGTTCTCCCAGAACGAAACAACCCATCCAGTATGATGCCATATGTAACAGTGTCAGGTTTAATTCTCTTTCGCGGCATTTCTCTGAACAGAGTCAAACCATCGTCTATCCTTCCATTTTTAAAATAGCCATCAAGCAGTGTACTGTAAGTAACAATATCAGTGTAACGCTCCGAGACCGTTGCGCCAGGTGTCTTCCAGTTATTCGCTATTGTTGTCTTGTCATTTGCTTCCGTGTTGCATTTTATCATGTCATCATCCGCATTGCATCATCATGTTTTTCAAAACTTGCATCCGTCCGGGTTCTCCCAGTTCCTTCCGTTGTCCGTTCTGAGCCGAGACACACTTGCACGCGCCCGCGACATGTCTGAAATATTATTTTATAAGTGGCCGGAAAATGTTCTTGGAAATGGTTTGAAAGTTGGCATGTGGTGTTGTTTTGTTGTCAGTAGACCGCCTGCCAAGTTTCATCGCATTCGGAGTCCGTTTGATGCCCCAACGGATAAATATAGCGGCAATAGTAGCCGGTCTATCGTCGGACGTTTTTGGTCTCCGGAAACAGTCGCCGGGCCTCCCTCTCTTCTCTTCTCTTAGCTCGAGACCGTCTACACAGCCCACTACCTACCGCCAGGCCCAACCTAACCTCTCTCGTCAGCCCGCGGCCCTCCTCGCGCGCGCGTCCGAAAGTTGTCCCAGACCCGACCCGGACAATCATTGCCGTTGTGTCCGGATCATCCCCAAACGTCTACAAAACGTCACCGTTTTCTTATTTCGCCTCCCTAACATTTTATTCTCGACCGCCCGATCTAAATCGGAGGGACCAGATGCACTTAACAAAAATTCACCTGCTATATATGACCAGATCAACCCTAAACCCTAGCCTAGCTCCTAGCCCCTCCTGCGCCGCCACCCTCCTCGGATCCAGCACTGGACCAACCACCTCTTTCCTCGTTTCAGATCCACCCAGCCGCTCAGATCCAACTAATTTCCTCCATCCTCGGGATCTTGCCCGGTCCATTCGAGCCACCCGACCAACCTCCTTCCTCCTTGGGATTTCATCCCGAATCAACCGGAGCCAACCAGCGCCAGCCACTTCTCTCCATTGATCCATCCCACCAGCAGAGCATCGGCCAACCCCCGAGCGCCGCCCTCACCCTCGAGCTTGAGCAGGCTGCTCCGCGCCTCCTCCCCTCCTCCAGTGCCTCGATCCACGATGGATTGAGAGCAGCACCACGCCATGGCGCCGCCGTCAAGTTGCTCCGACCCGCAGGTCCTCCTCACCGCGCCTCCTTCCTGTTTCTTGCTGTTCTTCTCCTACTGCTGCTGCTAATCGCGTGGTCGCCTTGTTTCTTCTGCAAGGCCAGAGCACCACCGAGACGAAGAACGTCCCCGGCCACCGGTGCCGTCGCCGGCCTAACCTGCTGCTGCCGTTGCTTCCCTTGTCGAACGAATGATGCATGACCCCAGCGCCGCCTCGTTCCCCTGCAGGAGCCGCGCATGTCCATTGCTGCTCGTCTTCATCGAGCCGGCCAAGTCCAACGAAACGCCATGGCCGCCCCTCTCCTCCTCACGGGTCCTGGACCCCTACGCCCTGTCACCGGCGTCCAGCGCCGCCATAGATTCGCGCCAAGCGTTCCTCACCGCCGCCCCGTTTCTGCCGCTGCTGCCTGCGTCCTCTGCTTCTACCAGGACGCCGCCGCCTTGGCCTCCAGCTCCGCCCGGCCGCTTGCCTTCCTCGCCAGTTGGAGCAGCCACTGCATCGCCTAGAGTCGCCGCGGCCAAGTCCCTCGATCCCCGACCGGAGCCCACCTCCTTGCTGTTCCCGGCACCGTCGCACACCTACTCCCGCTGCTTCGAGGATGAGGACGAACAGTGACCAGTGCCCGCGTTGACTTCCTCCGTTTTGACCGAGCGGCCTCGCTACCCGCCTGGGCTGCCTCCCTTCCAGCGCCAAGGCACAGCGCTCGGCCTCCCGGCCCAGGCGCTTCCTTCCCCTGCCAGCCTCTGCAATAGCCGGCCTGCTAAGGCCCAATGTGAGCAGCTCCCCAGCTCTGTTCCAGATCCGGCCCGTATCCTGTTTTTTTACATAGAACGTTTTTGTATTTTCTAGAGTCAGCAGTTTTTACAGAAAAACCCTCAACATCATGCATATAATAATTCCAGAACCGTGCATCGGATTAAAATGTTTTAAACATGTAAAGTGCTTAGAATTTCATCTAGTTTCATAATTTCCAACTTTCATCCATGTAAAAGATGTTTAAACTTGATGTTTGTTTAATTTTGTATAAATGCTATGCTAAAATGGTTTAATTCATAACTAAATAACCGTAGCTCCGTTTCTAACAAACTTTATATGTAAATGGGGTAGAATTTTGCCTAGTTTAACATGGTGGCATCATCTTGCATGTTTAATAACTATAAAATATGGTTTAGGGCGGAACAGGACCAAACCTAATATATGCACATGGGGATTTACCGGAATTGTTGTTCGTTGTTTCCGGCCTCATTTAAACTTGCCTAGATAGGTAGTTTTCTTTTGCTTCACCCTCTTGCCATGTTTAACAACATTTAATATTGTTGGGTACATAAACGAGATCGAACTAAATAACTTGTCGTGGTCTTTCGTCAATATGCAACTCATTGCATATTGAGCTCCACTTAATTTGTAGGGTTGCTTGTGCATTTTGCCATGCCATGCCTCTTTAAACCGGACATGCATCATACTTGATTGTGCATCATGCCATAATTATGTGTTGGTTGTTTACTATGTTGTGTGCTCCTTTCCGGTGTTGCTTCTTCGGGTTGGTTCCGATAACGTCGCGTTTGTGAGGAACCGTTCGACTACGTCAGTTTGTCTTCTTCATGGACTCGTTCTTCTTCCTTGCGGGATTTCAGGAAAGATGACCATACCCTCGAAATCACTTCTATCTTTGCTTGCTAGATGCTCGCTCTTTTGCTATGCCTATGCTACGATGCCTACCACTTGCTTATCATGTCTCCCAAATTGTCATGTCAAACCTCTAACCCACCATGTCCTAGCAAACCGTTGTTTGGCTATATTATCGCTTTGCTCAGCCCCTCTTATAGCGTTGTTAGTTGCAGGTGAAGACTGAAGTTTGTTCCTTGTTGGAACATGGAGATGTTGTTCCTTGTTTGGAACGTGTTTACTTGTTGGGATTTCACAATATCTCTTATTTAATTAATGCATCTATATACTTGGTAAAGGGTGGAAGGCTCGGCCTTATGCCTGGTGTTTTGTTCCACTCTTGCCGCCCTAGTTTCCGTCATATCGGTGTTATGTTCCCGGATTTGCGTTCCTTACGCGGTTGGGTAATAATGGGAACCCCTTGACAGTTCGCCTTGAATAAAACTCCTCCAGCATGGCCCAACATTGGTTTTACCATTCGCCACCTAGCCTTTTCTTTCCCTTGGGTTCTGCAGACTCAAGGGTCATCTTTATTTTAAACCCCCGGGCCAGTGCTCCTCTGAGTGTTGGTCCAAACTGAGCGATGTCCGGAGCTACCAGGGGCAACTCTGGGCTGGCCCACCCGACGTCTGGCTCATCCGGTGTGCCCTGAGAACGAGATATGTGCAGCTCCTATCAGGATTTGTCGGCACATCTGGGTGGCTTTGCTGGTCTTGTTTTACCATTGTCGAAATGTCTTGTAACCGGGATTCCGAGTCTGATCGGGTCTTCCCGCTAGAAGGAATATCCTTCGTTGACCGTGAGAGCTTGTGATGGGCTAAGTTGGGACACCCCTGCAGGGATTTGAACTTTCGAAAGCCGTGCCCACGGTTATGGGCAGATGGGAATTTGTTAATGTCCGGTTGTAGAAAACTTGAAGTTGACCTTAATTAAAATATATCAACCGCGTGTGTAACCGTGATGGTCTCTTTCCGGCGGAGTCCGGAAAGTGAACACGGTGTTGGAGTAATGTTTGACGTAGGTTGTTCTAGGATCACTTCTTGATCATAGTTTCTCGATCGTGCTTTGCCTTCTCTTCTCGCTCTCTTTTGCGAATATGTTAGCTACCATATATGCTAGTCGCTTGCTGCAGCTCCACCTCATACCTTTACCTTACCCATAAGCTTAAATAGTCTTGATCGCGAGGGTGCGAGATTGCTGAGTCCCCGTGACTCACAGATACTTCCAAAACCAGCTTGCAGGTGCCGATGAGACCGTGCAGATGACGCAACCAAGCTCAGGAGGAGCTCGATGAAGATCTTGTCCTTTGTGTTGTTTCGTTCTAGTTGATCAGTAGTGGAGCCTAGTTGGGGTCGATCGGGGACCTTGTCGCATTTGGGGTTCTTCTTTTATTTTGGTTCTGTAGTCGGACCTTGTTTGTATTTGGATGATGTAATGCTTTATTCATGTATTGTGTGAAGTGGCGATTGTAAGCCAACTATGCATCTTTTTCCCTTATGTATTACATGGGTTGTGTGAAGATTACCTCACTTGCGATATTGCTTTCAATGCGGTTATGCCTCTAAGTCATGCTTCGACACGTGGGAGATATAGCCGCATCGAGGGTGTTACAAGTTGGTAATCAGATCCTTCCCCGACCTTAGGAGCCCCCACTGCTTGATCGTTTTTCGCAGCCGTTGTTGATTCTAGAAAAATGTTTTGAGTCATTAGGAATTATATATCGGAGAGTTAGGACTTCTTTTTACTCCCCAGTCCCTTCGTTGCTCTGGTGAGGCATCCTGATGTAGAGTTTTGACTCTTCTCTTCTCAAATTTCACTAATTTTTTTTAGGATCACGCGGGTATCTTGGAATCATTCTGATGGTTTTGTGACGAGAACATTGTTCTTGGTGCCTCCTGTCATTTAGGGGTTGTGGCAGTGTCCCGGGGAGTTGAGCTCCGAGGTGTTGTCCTCACAATTTTATCGTTGCAGTTCTAGAATACCTGAGATTAGTTTCGCCGACATCAAAAATCTCTTTTATGCAGTTGTTGGTGAGATAACCTCGACGCCACCCAGTACTGGGGCGGGAGTTCGGGAGTACTGCCATAACTTGTATAACGGATGCTTTTCGAAGGTTGAGGTAGATGATTTCCGAAGGTTTCTTGGTTATGTGTTGAAGGATGGATACAGCTGGATGTAGGATTTGCTAGTTTTGGGTGAGATATTATGCTTCCCCTGTATCCCCAACACCTGATTGCATAACCG